ATAATAGCATTCGACTCTGATTTTGAGTTATTTTAAGAAAATTTCAAACATATTGAACAGATTGAATTATAAAAGTTGATAATTACTACAGTATATAGGTATTCGCAACCCTGGGTTGTGAGAGAGCAATCAGCTGATACGTTTACACGGCAAAAACCAAAATGCTTTAGATCCCTACGTCAAAAAGAGAAGGGAGTAGCGTTTTTCACTGCGCACTTACATTGCGCGCCCATAACATAGGTCGTATCAGCTGACACGACCCACGATTCTACGTTTTTCACTGTTCCTGCTATAAGGCTATGCTGTGGCTCCCAACATAGTGCGAACGGTAGCAAGAGTAAAATGAAATGCTACGGGAGTAGTGTAGTTTTCAAACGCTTTCACATTTACTGTGATTGTATATTTTTTCTTCAAAGCATTTCTCTTTATTCATTCTTGCATGAATTTAGTCGTTTTACATATATTTCTACTATTGAACGTGCTCATTTATGCAAAATAGCAGCGAGAATGGTGAATTCCTTACTTCAACTCTATCAGCTCTGTTAGCCGTCAAATCGAACACCATACAGAGTTAAATTTGCACCTTCTCTATGTTTTTACATTCTCTGTATGGGATACCAAGCTTCTTGGAAATGTCTTCATTATTCTTTTTCGACATGAGGCTTTCAATATTTTCTTTGACAATTCTCCACCAGTTCTCTATTGCATTTAGGTGCGTTTGGGAAGACCAAATTAAAATGTATGTTTATTTATGAAGAAACCAGTTTGTCACTTACAACAGAGCGCATGACTTCATTATTAACAGTGTGATTCTATACTGTGATATAGTCACAAATCTCTAAATTTGAGATTTTAAGTTGGAGATAATTTTTGTGGCGATTTTGCTATTCTGTAAGTGGTACTCACAAAATCTATTACATTTGATTATTCAGAGATGTTTTTACACTTGAATGAAAATAAATATGTCAATAACAATATTAAATTTTCCAATAACATAGTTAAAAAAATAATTAGCAGTAAAAATAGAAATATATGTTGACTTTGTTTCATAATATTTACGAAATTTATGTAAAATTTATTTATTTTTAACCTTTTCGTGTTTGAGTTGCTACAATATAAAAAAACGATAATCGATTAATATCTATGATTATCTCTATTCTTTCCTGAAGCGTCAATTTTCTTTGGCACTATCCATACCGGAGAGTTATAAGGAGACCGTGAAGGTCGAATTATGTTATTATCAAGAAGTTCCTGTATTTGTTTTTCAACTTCATCTTTCAAGGATATGGGTAATATGCC